CACATGGTGCAAACACGTGGATTATCAAGGTAGAAGAGGACGACTGACCTCCACAACACTTACACTGCCGACCTGATACATCTTACACCTATGCTAAGCTCTAAACTAGGCCCTGCCAATTATCCGAAACTAAAAGAACACACGCCACGCATGTGTGATACACTAAAATTAAGTGTTTTTGAGGTGAAAGGTTGAAAAAAGGAGCTAACGTTCCCCTCGGAATAGTGCTAAGTGGACATTTGCTTGCCGAGGATGGAGAGTACATTAAGTGGGGTTTGACAGTTTTTCAATGCAGCATTTTGCATAAATACTGCAAACGAATTTCTGCAGTCAAGCACACTGAAAACAATGAGATTTCGCTCCCAATTGAGGCTGGGAAAGCAACCCGTGTATCACCTTAGTGTTGCTGTAGCATTCACATACCTTTCGCTGTTCGAGAAATAACCTAATCACCAATGCTGCACAGTACGTTATGGAAACTAACTAACTGGTCAGATAAAAACCACCTTTATGGGTGGGATGAACTGGACATTTACGGATAAATTTAACGTGCAGCATGAATTTCATGAACTAACAAAACGGAACATCAATTACATATCAGTAAAAGTTGTACGCTTGACTTCCTACTCCCGGTGTCACATATGTTGCCCGGGTTCTAAATTAGCATATCGCAAATGACCGCGCCACGTTATTGCACCCAAAGAGAAGCAACTTCAAAATCAGTATAAGGCAGTGCATGTTGACCATGTACGGGGTGAGCAGCACTTTTAGTTCTCTCCAGCAAGGATTGACTTGGCTAAAAAATCAAATCAGGACTGTAAAACACCTAGAATAGTAGACGTCGATACTTCGCTAAAAACTGACAGTGAATGTGTTAGAAAATAATCAAAGAGCCAAAACTAAATCGCGTAAATCTCACATTCTTTAAATAAAAAAGGAATCAAAAACTTGTCGATAAATGAACTCAGGTTTTTTAGCGTGTTTGAGAAGTAAAAAATTTTTATTTGAGTAGGAGGATTTCTTAATTTCCTTTCCTCAAAACAGACAAACCTGAGACAGAGGGTTGGAAATGAAGGTTTGGCGTGCATCACTGCTTGCCTAGATGAACGCTTACAATCTAAGCAAAATGTAGGATTAGAAAAAATCCGTGGCTTAACTAAACTAAACTATTTAAGAGCGCGAAAATACAGCGCAAATAAAAATATCACTATGGAATAAATATTTAAATGACAGGACAACTTGTTCTGATGGAAATAGAAGCAATGTACTGATGTAAATCATTGTAAAGTGAGAAAAACTTACTAAGAGTGTCCGCAACAACATCCTTCGCCATTGCATAGTCTGCTACGACAGCTGTGGAAAAGGTGGCTGGGATTCCAAATGGATCGACATTCACACTTCTCCCTTCGTACACCCTGTATCAAGCTTGTAAGGGGAAAAAACGAATTTTTAACGATACCGCAAGGGTATGTGAAACGTTCACTAACATTGCACTCAAATACTTACATTCCTGCAATGCTGTAAGATTCACTAGTTAATATTTAGGAATGGAAAACAGCCCCAACCCCATTGATTGTCACTTAAGATATGTGTGTCCACTACGCAATACCCATTTAAACTGTAAGTGACCGTCAAGGATAATTTCATGCAACTTAATGCAAATGCAAAGGTAAAGCACCCAGTAATATAACAAGGCTGAGATAG